TCTCTCCCCTCATCCTCTGCCCCCCCACCTTCCACACCTCTGCTTTTCTCTGCACCCCCACCTTCCACACCTCTCCCATCCTCTGTATTACCTCATCCTCTGCACCCCTACCTTCCACACCTCTGCTTTTCTCTGCACCCCCACCTTCCACCCCTCTCCCATCCTCTGTATTACCTCATCCTCTGCACCCCTACCTTCCACACCTCTCCTTTCCTCTGCACCCCCACCTTCCACACCTCTCCCATCCTCTGTATTACCTCATCCTCTGCACCCCTACCTTCCACACCTCTCCTTTCCTCTGCACCCCCACCTTCCACACCTCTCCTTTCCTCTGTTCTCTGCGCAGCCTCTACATGACCCCCAGCACACATGGTACAATGGGACAGAGATGGGACAGAGAAGATGTTTTCTTACCTCCGCTGTCTGTAGGTCAGCATGGCTTCAGAGATGTAAAGCTGGTGTGACTGTGAGGCCCCGGCGATGTATTGTGCCGCCCTTCCTGCCACATCAAGGCGATCTGTGGAGGACAAGAAATCCAAAATGAATACCCCCAGAAGCCTGATATGACCCTCCCCCCCCCGCCCCAAACCACAACTAGGAGGTCTTCTGGTCTCTCCTAAAACCCCGCCCCTTCTTTTCACTGACTTGCAGCACGTATTCCACATCAATTCTCCTACAACATGCCCCAACCAAGCCATGGACAGCTCAAGCTCCTCCTCTTCTACCCTCCAACCAAGCCATGGACAGTTCCAGCTACGCCTCTTCTACCCTCCAACCAAGCAATGGTCAGCTCCAGCTCCACCTCTTCTACCCTCCAACCAAGCCATGGACAGTTCCAGCTCCGCCTCTTCTACCCTCCAACCAAGCCATGGACAGTTCCAGCTCCGCCTCTTCTACCCTCCAACCAAGCCATGGACAGTTCCAGCTACGCCTCTTCTACCCTCCAATCAAGCCGTGGTCAGCACCAGCTCCTCCTCTTCTACCCTCCAACCAAGCCAAGGTTAGCCCCAGCTCCTCCTCTTCTACCCTCCAACCACACCATAGTCAGCTCCAGCTCCGCCTCTTCTACCCTCCAACCACAACATGGTTAGTTCCTGACTTGCTTCTTTTACCCTCCAACCACACATCTCTCCCAACCACAGAGGTCTTCTACATCCCCAACTACATTGCGGTCTCTTCTTTACCCCTCCACAGCCATTCCATGATCAGCTTCCACTCTTTCTCCCGCTTGGCTACACTATTTCCTGATTGGGCAGTAATGTATACCGGGGTGTCATGGATCGCTCAGAGGCCGAGTCATAAATGGACAAACGTTGGCTGGTCTTGGCATAAACTACAAGGCTGAACTTTTCACCGGGTGCAGAGGAGGCAGGGGCCACTTTCCAGTCCAATGAGTACCCCTCTGTGGCCCCGTATTTGTGCTTTATCCCACCCCACTGGAGGTCAGCCTGTCTAGAAAAAGATGGCGCTTACCTGACCCAGGGGCTTCAGCCTGACTGAAGACATCTCTCCACACCGCATCCATAAACAGAGAGCTGTATTTACTATCCACGGATGCCAGATAGGAGGCCACCGGGTGCGGGCCTGCAACACAGACAGAGATATTACAGGAGAATACTAGAATGACACCATATCCAGATCCATTGGGCCAATCCTGCCTGTAGATCAGGAGAGCGCAGATCACCCGCGGGGCCGGCCCCGTCCAACACACCATCCCAGGGACCCCTGCTCTGGATGTACAAACTCTCTTCTCAGCTATGTGAGAGTCCACAGAGACCACCCATAATGGAGGCTCCTAACCGGTGCACACCTCCTTCATGGCACAACTTGGATCTGTGCCGGCAAATTTCATAAAACAAGCCATGAAGACCATGGACAGAAAATGGAACTGCGCTACGGTGCGTATCACATCTCATATCATCTGAGAGAAAATGATGCGAGTCCAATGTGAAATGTCCGTACCCCCCACTATGTAGTGTCTGCTTCTCCTTCCTGGGATACGAGGACACAGGATTATTCCCGGCCGTACACCTCATGTCTGGAGGCGGCTGACAAATCTTCAATTTGCCATGATAAGTCCGGCTCTGGAATAGAATCCCCTCTAGATACACGCAAAGCATTCCGCCGCCGTATATCTGCGCCATTCCTAGGACCAAGATCTATTGATTGACTCTGTGACTGATAGTTGATCAATATTCTCAGGACTGCGGCAGGGTTGCCCTCTCTGCCATCTGATATTTGCCTTGTCCATAGAACGTCTGGCTGAGCTTCTTCAGGGTTGAATACTGGACCATCTGGAGGAGGGAGTATTGCTCCCAGGGGGGGTTGTACGGCTCTCAGATTCTCAGGACTGCGGCAGGGTTGCCCTCTCTGCCACCTGATATTTGTCTTGGCCATAGAACGTCTGGCTGAGCTTCTTCAGGGCTGAATACTGGACCATCCGGAGGAGGGAGTATCGCTTCCCCCCGAATGATATGCTCATTTCCCAATCTTCTCCCTTCCATCGGAGATTGGAGATTTTTGGACATTTCTCAGGTTTCGGGTTCACTGGAGAAAATCTGGACTTCTCCCAATGGGTAAGGACTCAGAATCTCAGCTTCCTGTAGGAACAGTGCTCCGGGACTTGGGTATAGAAATTCAGCTTCCCCCTCCAGGATCTCTTCACAACAATTTGACTTTGGTGATCACTTAGAGAACATTTTCCTTTTCATGACTTATGTAGAAAATGATAAATCCACCCAAATGTCTTTACATTCTAGGACACGCCCCCGTACTTATTCCCAGAAAGATCTTCCAGTCCATGAACTCCAATCTCCATCTCCTCCTAGTCATGGGGTCAGACCGCACCCAGGTTGTAGCTCCTCAATACAGTACGGGCCGCTTCTACCGGGTCTTCATCACCTGGCAGCACTACGGATATACACGGGATGGTGCATGGTGATCAGGGCAGCCATCAGGGGGGTACGGCCGATACTCATGTAAGGGGCCCGGACAGCCTGGGGGGCCCACCCAGGTCCCTTACATGACTATCGGCCGACGGTGAAGGGCGAGGAGGCGGAGACATGGCCCTAGCAGCGCCAGCGGCTTTGAGACAAGCTAGGGCCCCATCAGTGACGATGCTTGTCTGATGTCAGACTGGCCGTAAGTGACGTCACTTCTGGCCGGTCCGGCGGCAGACGAGGACATGTGTGCAGGTAAGAGGAGCTAGGAAGGAAGGAAGGAAAGGAGGGAGGGGAGGGATGCAGCCCACCTGAGACCCCTTCAGAGCCCACCATAGACAGTCTCAGATGGGCTGTGCAGCATCTATGGTGGGTTCATCTCGGTTTTCTCTCCTTCCCTGAAGAAGTTACGGAAATTTAGGGCTGCTGGTACAATCCACGTCTGGGTCAATCCCCCAAACGGGCCAAACACAGGAATCAACTATGTGACAGTAATATCAGTATGAGTTTCCAGTGTCTCCAGTCTCCCAATCTTGGCCCCTGAGGAAAGGTTCCCACTGTCTATGACCGTTCACTACGCGGTGGGGAGATTACACTTCAGTCAGATTATTTAAAATGGGGAAGAAGGTGAAGGACAATTCCCTCCACATGACACGGAAGTGGCCCCTCCTTCTTGGGCCCATTGGGTTGCAGGTTACTAATTTTATCCCGATGATCCATAATCCGAGAATATGATTACTACGCGCTCTCCTGGACCATCTCATGGAGTCTGTCTGTAGACCAATCATGTGCTGCGGATATTTTACACCACACAACTGATTCAGTCCAAATGTCTCCCAGCACCCCAGCTAAAAGAATAGAACAATGCGGTCCCTCTCTATGGTATGACCTATGAGGATCTTAGTAACAATGCGGTCCCTCTCTATGGTATGACCTATGAGGATCTTAGTAACAATGCGGTCCCTCTCTATGGTATGACCTATGAGGATCTTAGTAACAATGCGGTCCCTCTCTATGGTATGGCCTATAAGGATCCTCTTAACAATGCGGTCCCTCTCTATGGTATGACCTATGAGGATCTTATGCGCTCTCACCCAGAGGTAAGATGAGGAAACGAAGATAATTCAGCCAATCTGGAGTCTTCCCGGCCAACTGCTCCACAAAGAACCGAAGAATGACGCTGAGATAACTCTGATCGCCGGCAACCAGAACCTTCACCACCGGCGGCATCTGAGAGTTACAGTTACAGCTGGAGAAGAAGGAGAAGAAAGTCAACCCATCTGATCATACTTCTCCTCCTCTCATCCACACAGCATCCATCATCCATCTAATGGTCACTGAGGGATCAGAGCGGAGCATCCGTCAATCAATAATCAATACAAGTTTTCATTGATCATTGAAATATGAAATAAAGAAAATGCAACTGAACCTTTTATGACTATGAAATCGTTCTATGATTACCAATCAATCAATCAATCCATCCATCAATCAATCCATCCATCCATCCATCAATCAATCCATCCATCAATCACACCATCAATCCATCCATCCATCAATCAATCCATCAATCACACCATCAATCAATCCATCAATCAATCAATGGAGAACCTACCTTCCTACATGGAGAACCTACCTTCTTACATGGAGAACCTACCTTCCTACATGGAGAACCTACCTTCCTACATGGAGAACCTACCTTCCTACATGGAGAACCTACCTTCCCACATGGAGAACCCACCTTCCCACATGGAGAACCCACCTTTCTACATGGAGAACCTACCTTCCTACATGGAGAACCTACCTTTCTACATGGAGAACCTACCTTCCTACATGGAGAACCTACCTTCTTACATGGAGAACCTACCTTGCTACATGGAGAACCTACCTTCCAACATAGAGAACCCACCTTCCCACATGGAGAACCTACCTTCCTACATGGAGAACCTACCTTCCGACATGGAGAACCCACCTTCCCACATGGAGAACCTACCTTCCTACATGGAGAACCCACCTTCCCACATTGATAACCTACCTTCCTACATGGAGAACCCACCTTCCCACATAGAGAACCCACCTTCCGACAAGGAGAACCTACCTTCCTACATGGATAACCTACCTTCCGACATGGAGAACCTACCTTCCTACATGGAGAACCCACCTTCCGACATGGAGAACCTACCTTCCTACATGGAGAACCTACCTTCCGACATGGATAACCTACCTTCCTACATGGAGAACCCACCTTCCCACATAGAGAACCCACCTTCCGACAAGGAGAACCTACCTTCCTACATGGAGAACCTACCTTCCGACATGGAGAACCCACCTTCCCACATGGAGAACCCACCTTTCTACATGGAGAACCTTCCTTCCGACATGGAGAACCCACCTTCCTACATGGAGAACCTACCTTCTGACATGGAGAACCCACCTTCCGACATGGAGAACCTACCTTCC